TGCCCTCTGATGTCCCTTCTCACATTTTGGGCAGTCCTTGGAGGGGACTGTGTTTTTGGTATTATTTTGTATTTGGCAATCCTCTTGAAAATCTCCAGTCTTCCCATATTTAAAACATTTTCGGGAGTGTTGAGGGTTTCTTAAGAGAATTATTTTGTTTTAACTTTACTTATTTACTTTTAAACTTTATTTAATTTTAATGTGACCAAAGAGGGACAGTGAGTGAGTGAGTGAGGAAGGGGAGAAGGTAAGCCATCGGGGACTCGGGCCACTATCAGCTATGTGGGAGTCCAACGTCCTTAACCACCACGCCACCTGCCGGCCCCAAGAAGTGCTGTGGTTTTAAAACCACAGAAACAACTGGGTGGGCTTCGTGGGTTTCTGAACCTACATCCTAACATTCTCTGACAAATTCTCCAACGCGTTTACCTTCTACTCTAATTCTTGAAGAATACTCTTGAAATCGCAATAGCCATTTACAATAGAAGACCATTTGTCGCAACTTTGTGAAGGGGGGAAAGAAAGGGAAAGCAAGATAACCGTTGAAACTCGAATCACGTAGTAGTTGGTCACGTGGGATGCAGACACTTTAACCTTCAAGCCACCTGCTGACACGCTGAATGGTTGCTTTTTGGCGTCCTTGAAGATAGGATGGTAACACCAGCTGCAAGTATCCGGAAGTGCTTCAGTTGTGGTTCCTTAATCTGAGAAGTTTTTTGTCCTGCACGCACACACAACAGGTATATGGACAAGGAAAAAAAAAGCCAGGAAGCCCAAGATACAGGGAGTGCCGTGAAGTTTTGTAAAGCAAAATACAAAACAACTGCTGAGACTTGAACCGCGGTCGTTAGCCATGTGGGAGTCCAGTGCCTTAACCTTCACGCCACCTGCTGACGCGACTGCTTTCCTTTCTGTAGCCTCCTTAAAGGCTTCGTAATGACATCAGCTGCACGTACCCGGAAGTGCCACAACTTGTGTTGATGACTGTTTTTCCCCCGAACAGCCTAGTCACCTCACTGCCTGCTCCTCCTCTCCTGTCTTCCTTGCCACTCACATTTTCTGGATCCCACCATTCATCTACAACTCTGCTTCCTTGGCAAAGACCTCACTTGACCAAACTTGCTTCAATCGGATCAGCATCATGCCTTTTCCTTTTAGTGAACACCGCATTGGGCATACAGCACATCAGGGTGCAAACACATTGATCGTACTCTCACGTTGGAGCTAGAGCCAAAGGCTCACAGCTAAGCCTCATAGCTTCAACACTCATTTGCCACCCGACTTCATTAAAAAAGTCTCAGGGAAGAACTAGGAGGGGGAGAGAGGGTAGATTGGATCACATACAGGGGAACTTCCAAAAGTTCAGAGAATTTAAGTGTGAGTTTATTTTGGTGCACACAATTTTGAAATCTAGGCATAATTGTGTAATAATCAGTCGTTTCCATGCATTTTTTAAAGATCTCTCATATTTAAAGATTGGATCACATGCTCAGCCCTTTGCAGCCCCCACCCCACCCAACAGAATATTAAGATTTCAGATGAATAGGAGCTAAGCTGATAGAAAAAATTGCTAACACCGTTGTTACTGATGAAGATGTTTGTATCATCTGGTTTTAATTCTGGTAATTTTTTTTTTCTCTTTGGTATAAGACACTGTGCTTACAGGAGACTGACAGTGAAAGGGAAAGTGAGAAATCACCCCCAGGAGTGGCCACACTGCAATCCCTTCTCCATTTTCCATTTCATTCTCCCTTCTCCCTCTCAGGGCTTGTCTCCCTCCAGTTATGAGGTAACTGTGGATGGTTCTCCAGGTAGGCGAGTACACGGCCAGGTTCACCATCATGGTGAACCTCTCCTCCACCTCTGACATCTCCACCTATCCCTGGTGGACACCCACAGCACTCCCCACCACCAACAACTGTGGTCCCCAGAACACCTACTCCAAACTATGGTCTCTACATCCTATAGCAGCCCCAGAGAGCCTCAGGCCAACATAGCAAAGTTGCTGAAGTCCCTGAGGTTTCCCTCTGATCTATTCTCCTGGGTGGGACTAGGCCAGGTCCTGACATCAGTTACACATACCCAAAACTGCTACAGTTAATCCACAAGAAAATTGGATTCTCACATGTTCCCAAATTGTTGTGGACAAGCACACACATGCTCTTTGCATGTTTTTCAAACTGCAGGGTCCAGGACTCCAACCAGGTGGCCAACCATGTGGGATCTAGCCATTTTAGCCACCATACCATGGGCTGACCCTCCAGTGTGTTTTTTCAAGCCACTGGGCTTGGGGCTTGAACCATGGTCACCCGTATGGGATCTGACTCCCCTAAGCACAAGGCTATGGGGCCCATCTCGCATTCCCAATTTTGAAAGGCATTCTCCTCATAAGAATTCCAGAGACAACTGAGGTCTAGAAGCCACTAAGATGGAGTTGACATGGGTGACTCAGATTTATTTTTCTATAACTCAAAAGGTCCTGCTTCCCAGGAACTTCCTGAACATGCCTGGCGCATATGTCTGTGATTCTGACTGGCTGAGATCAAGGGTGGATTGCAGAATGAAGATTCTGTTGGGATGGGGACTGGTAGTGTGGTGATTGAGGGCACTTGGACCTCCATATTGCCAACACTGATTTGAGCCCCAGACCAGGTGGCTTGCTTTCTCTCTCTCTTTCTCACTCTATCCCTCTCTGGTCAAATTAAAAATAAATAAAGTGAAATAAAATAATTCTTTAAATTAAAAAAAATATTTTATTAGGAGTGGCTGTCTATCTCTCGCTCATGGAAGAATAAATAACTTTTTTTTAAGGTAAATTACAAAAATCTTTTCAGATTCCATGATGCCTCTTAGGCCCTCTTCTCATCTTATGTCTGGTGCTGAGAAAAAAGAGGGGAAATAAAAAAGTAAAGAAATAAGGTCTACTTTCTTAGCCTAGTGGTTAAGGGACCCAGATCCCACATGGATAACTGTATGGGCCTGGTGGCTTATAAAACACAAAAGGGGAGCCATCAGGTGGTGTGGTGTTTAAGGGTGCTAGACTCCCACATGGCTAACCACTGTTAGAGTCCCAGACCTAGAGGCTTGATTTCTCGTTTACTCTCTCTCTCTCTCTCTCTGATCAAATTAAAAATATGTAAATAGAGGAGAGGCAAGGGAGCAGGCCATCAGAAGACACCTTCATGACTCCTGAGAACTAATTATTTCAGAGGAATAGGAGAAATGAAGATTTTCCACTGATAATTCAACCTCCAACCCACAAACTCACGTGATTGAACTTCAAGTTTGGGAAGAAACGCACCATCCATCAGATGACTAGAAATCA